TATAGGTCTTACATTCAAGACCGTTTTAAGTACGGCCTTAAGAAGTCACGAATCGATCGGAGGGCCGTATTAGCGTCTTAAGACATTGCTTAAAACTTCTGAATTATTTCTTTTGCAGATAGGACATTCCATAAAACGCGTCGCTTGACAAAGCTGTTGCTTGAGACATTGAGAATACGGAAAAAATGTCAGAAGACGAATTTTGATCGCTTCCCTTATTCACAACTGGGACTGATCTATCTATGATTACGACGAAGAGACTTAAACTATTCGAGCCAGCGCGAGCGTTAATTTGAGCATCCTACGGCGAATATGTGTAAGAACGTGAATTCACCAATACCATCATCCGACACCGCAACGTCTGGCACAATGCCGAGCTGATTGGAAGTCACGTGTCGGCGGCAATGAATTCGTATGTTGGGGGTCACGTGTCTCGCTCGGTGAGTTTCCGAGGAGTACGGCATTGCCAAAAGTCAGACGCGGCTGTCCTTCCCTCCACCACCCTCCTATCCCAAAAGCACCAAACTCTACACCCTGGTTTCTAGACCGAAGTCATTTCGACGTTGCTCTTTTCGAAAAACACGTTATACCGTAGTATATCGAGATGTGAACTCAGTACTTATCATTTTCACACGTTCATTAGAAAAATATAAATTTAGCGAATTGAATAAAATCTATTCGGATTCGTTTTTTATCGAAAGAACTCGTCACACAACTACACTATGACGATCTTGATCAATTTATATCAATTGATTCGCTTTACACGATTGTTCCACCGAAAGGACGTTCATTCGCAAAACAAGCCGCAAAAGAAGAGAATGTAAAGAGAGAAATGAGATGAATTTAAAAAATTTCCTTTAGTTAGTGAAATAGAGCACAAAACCTATTAATTAGAGTATTCGAAACGTAAATATCTCTTTTAAAAGAAGAGCAGGTTCAGGTGTACAACTCAATATGAAAAAAATCTCGCTGATTGTGGCACTCGATTAGTTATCGTTCGTCATTCATCACGCATGCTTATTAACGATATGCGCGTAATCGGTAATAAATAAATGATTGTAACGTTTATTTGTTTTTGATATGATAATGAAATAAACATGCTATCGTTCGATAACTAATATATTTATTTCATTTATGTTAAACGTATTTGTCAGAATAGAATTGAACAATTGACTTCAAGGTGACGGACTAAATTGGAACAATGTGGTGATTACATTTTGCATTATAAATTAAATTAATAAATATAAATTTCGTTCTACAAAATCTTTTAAAGGAACATTACTTGATCAAACGACCTGATACAATCTCGTAGATATCCTTGAATCAAGAACGGACAAAATGCATTAATATTACACTTCGTCTTTTTCTGTCGTATTTCCTCGTATCACTATTAAAATATTGATACAAAATCTTAAATTTTTGGCGCAGTGCGTCATTCTGTTTGATGTTACTGACGATTGCTATCTCCAGCAAGAAAGAGATCGGCAAAAATGGAACGAAGGGTGGAAGAGTAAGTGAAGAAAGGGGTCGCGAAGGGCGGTAATGAATTAATTGCCTTGCGCTAGCGCGTGGCCGGATGTACGGCCGATCGTCCTCGGCTTCCGGTCCCAGCGACTCTTTCCTTTTCCTCTTCTTTCGAGGTTTTCGTGGTTCCGACCAAAAGCCGCAATGATGGAGAAGGGACGCGTAGGTTTAACCGTCTTGTCCATTCTCCCGGAAAATATTTATCGTGTCCGCGTGCGACATGGTCGACGCACACAAAGGGTAGTAAAACTGCCTTTCGTCAAATTCTCCGATCTTTCCTTCCGGAGAACTACTAGTGAGAGTAATTCTTTGCAAGTATGAGTACCGATTGTACGCACAAAGAGCGCCTTTACTTGACCAGTGCTGCACATTATGGATGTATTTTAAAAGTAATTCTGCAATTTAGTTTTCTCGCTTGTTAAATAAGAAAAAAAAGAGATGAGAGAGAGAGAGAGAGAGAGAGAAGGAAGAACTAACTAATGCCGGAACTTTTGCTAAAAATAGAAGTCGGTTATTCGTTTGAAACATTGCACAGAAAAGCAGGAAGCGTGCCGCAGATTTATTGACCATCACACGCGTCCACGGGAGAGACGATATAGCTTGTTCCGCGCTTATCGTTAGTACAATCTCTTATCGGATGCACGCTTGCGCGGGGGTGGACTCGACTCATGTCGAGGGTAGGCGGAGTACGGTACGGTTGGTGCATGCCATATGGCCAGAAAGGACAGCTGTTGATCGGATCGCGTGCTCATCATCTCTATTAAAGCCAGCTCATGCTTACTGTTTCTACTTGATTTGCAGATGGCACGATTATTTATGCGACTGTGAGAGAGAGAGAGAGAGAGAGAGAGAGAGAGAGAGAGAGAGAGAGAGAGAAAGCGTCTTAAAGGCGTCGATGAAAATCTGAGATAACGAATTTCAAATCGACAATTTCCAACCAACTATTTAGAATTCCAACCAGATCGTAAAATATTGGAATATATGGAATTTCGTGGCTGCAGTGTAAATCTTTTTTCAAAATACTCATGGAAAATCATTTTTTGAACAAGTACTTTTTTTAAATGCCTGTTTATAATATCTTATAGTTTCGAAATTTTCGAAATATAAATAATTTGTTTAAATTAATTACAATCTGCAGTTGTACGTTTAATAGTTAACGGTAGATTTTTAAATCGAAAATGTACACAACTGAGGTTCCTTTATTTTAGTTAATGTTAAATAATGATTATGTAAGTGTTTCCAAATTTGCTTACTTAAGTATACGTAGGTATATTTTAAGTTTCATTTAGAGCTTACTCCCTCCCCCCCTCTCTCTCTCTCTCTCTCTTTCTTCACTTCTTTGCTTACTCTTCCTTCCTTCGAAAGTTTCGAAACTCGAAGAGATAGGCTGTTCCGTGTTTAACGAAAATATTAACAGTTGTATAGTGTCGATAAAGCAGATAACATACAGTCGCGCGCGCCGGAGTTAATAAAAATAAAAGACTGGATCGAAAAAGAATGAGAGAGAGAGAGAGAGAGAGAGAGAGAGGAAAGATAAAATGTAACGGGTATTCTGTTTGCACAGATAATCCTTTGGTCCCTTTTATGTTAGCAAACAAATCCGATCCCGATACGGTAGCGAGACTTTGCAAACAGGTGACTCGAAAGCCGTTGTATTCTAAATTTTACCTGCAACGCAATATTTAACCGTTTGCAGAGTTTCGATCTTTTGTATTGCAATCGGCGCTTTCCATGTGAATCGTTTACACGATTCGATTCATACAACAGATCGTTTATATAATAATGTCGTGTAACAAAAAAAGACTTAAAACTCTTTGTCCTTTTAATATCGAAAAAGAAAAAAAATTATTGTTATCGCTAACTTGACATATCACGAATTCTAAAATTGATGAAATCTAAAAATAAAATGCAAATGTTTCAAATGATATAATGCCTACATATTTCATTAGACTCAATAAAACATTGAAGATTTTACGATTTAATACATTTATATATTTTTGGATTAGAATAAAAATTCGTAGTGCGTTACTTCACTATCATGTTTTAAAAAAATTAGCAAATATATCATTCAATAGAGTAAAGTTTTAGTATTTATTTTTTAAATAGCGATACGATAATTTTTAACAGAGTTATGAGCAATCGTGGTTAAAATGCTTCTTTTATTTAATAATAAATCAGTAATAAAAATTTTTAGGAGCATTTTCATAAAAATGATTTTGTAGAAAAAACTTTAAGTTTTCGCGTTAGAAAGTCAAAAAATTTCACAAGGTTTTTGTTGGGCATGTGACGACCTACAAAATGAGACGAAAATTTCCCATTTTGTCCAGCTCAAATTTTCAATATGTTCTATAAATTACTAAACTCACAGAAACTCAAAAGACAGTGATCTTTTGAAAGTATCGATTTTAGGCTTTAAAATTTTTAATTTTATTCATTTTCAATTCAGTTACAGCAGCCTGAATTTTGAAGTTCGTCGCGCTACGAAGTTTTGTTCCCACCAATTAAACATATATTTTTACATCTATTTTTGTACGATGGTTTTAACGTGCATTAGTACATATTACTACGTTCAACCGAATTGGCTAACAGTTTATCGTTTGTATCTCTCTCTAACTGTACAGGTACTATTTCTTCTGAAACTATGGTGATTACGGCTTCTCGTAAAGAATTGAAAATAAAAAAAGAAAATAATAAAATACTTACGCAGATCGTGTAATCGTAATCACCGGCGCTTTTGACGATGCGATAATCGTTTGTCTCGGCGGCTTATCGTCACCAGATCATTTTTATTATTCGTTGCGACACGTGCCGCTCGTAATTAACGGAAAATCACCATGGACAGTGCATATGTGGATTCGGAGCTTGTCTGATAGACACGCGGCGATTACGCGATCGCGTGTTACGCGTTCATCCTAAGCGCATCGCGCTGTCCTAACACACTCCCTTAACCATCGACCTCTCCGTTCTCCGACTCGACGACGGTAAGTCAATCGATCTACCTCAAGCGGAACACGCACGTATTGACTCCCGCACGACGTGCGACTGAAGCATGCGTTTACGAGAGGAATACGACACGAACAATGGACGTCGTCGATGAACAGGGAAAGTCTTTCCGGAAGAGCGGGATGTTGAGGATTGATTAAATTCAAATATATGCTCGTATTTGTAATTACTTGCATGGACGTCCCTTGGGAGACGGGCGACACCTGCTTAAATTTTTAAAGGGCAAGGAGAAATAATTAAATTATATAAAAGTAATTTTTTTCTATTTTAATGTTACAAATATCAAATTTATTTTTAAGATTCACTTAACGAATCCATTTCACGTCTCATGATTTATTTCAACTAACAAAAAATTTCTTAGCAAAAAATACAATTGCAGAATGGATAAGATCCTAAAAGAATGTTCGCGGAAATGTACATTTATCTCTCTGTTAGAAAGACGATGTGAAAGTTCACTTGTGTTTTTTGCTATTCTGATTCCTCATTTTATCGGGATTTTTCTCTTTGCTCAGATGAATATTTTACATTTTAAAGCATGCAGTTTTTTTTTTTAAATATCAGAGCAACGAGTGTCTTTGAAAAAACAGGCGTTAATTGCGGTGGGACATTTGACAGAATAATCGTCGCAAAAGTCAGCGTCCGAGCTGCGGGATGGAGATTTCGTTATTCCGCCATGCATGACAAAAAACCAGTTGCTCTGGTTCGCCCGACGGATGCAGGATGCAGCTGGGATGCAGAGGGAGGATGTACCTATATAGATAAAGTAGTTATGTCTATATATCGTCCAGTTCTGCACCGAGGGACTACCTTCCTCTGACCAGCCGACAAAAGGGCAACCACGGATAAATGTAAATATGTAACTATAAAAAAGGAGAAGAAGAAAAAAAAGATAAATACTTACGGTCAAAAGTCAATATTGTGAGAAGAGTCCCCCGTCGGTCTTCGGCTTGCTCAAGATGGAAGCTGCGTTTGGGAAACGTTTGGCGCGTTTTTCTTTGTTCCGTGAGAATGGGCGACCGCCTCGTTATGTGTCTCATTAGATTATACTTAATCCTGCTGATATCACGGAATTTGGAATTATTGCAATTCTGAACGTATTAAATCGCTTTTCATCTCAGATTCGGTGACGTATGTTGTGAAAATACGTTGTTGTCGAAAATTTGAGATTTTTCGTATATATTCTGCTCGAATAAATTTAGATTTGACTGAGATAAATTATTACCGGCGAATAATATATTTCATTATTTAAGTATACCTCATCCATTTTCAATCATTTCGATATAAATAATAAATTCAATTCTCCAATAGAATTGGCTCCTTCTATTAATTTAGTAATGCTTTTGTGTGTCACATTTATAATATTAATTATTTTCCATTTGAGACAACAAATGAAATCCCTGTTTTGCTCGACCGAGCGAATATTTACGCTTTCTCCGGAGCAATTTCGGTTAATATAGCTTTAACGTTCCCGTGAGGGGACAATTTGTCATCAACACGGCGATATTCCGTCTTTGATTTGGCACGATAAATCCACTGCGATTCGTGCGCATCGCATGTCGGCGCGGGATTCGCGGTCGCTAAAAATCACCCTTTGCATAATGCAGGCATAACGATATAAGCACGATCGGCGCCAAACTTTTACCACTAAAAGCTTTCGAATCGCTGGTAAATTTGTCACCGGGCAACAGCCCGTTCGACCGATAATGGTGCGCGGCGGCGGAAAATAATCGCCGGCTCGCATTACGGATCCATTACATACGGGATCGCGCGCCCAAACACATATTAACCCCCGCGGCGTTTTGTACGCGGGTGCCCCACCTCGCCCCACATTTGGGCGCGGATTATATCGAGCGCAAAAATGATCGATTATAAAACAGTGCACGTACACATACGTTCGTCCCTGCACCCTTCCCGACATGAGAAGTATCCGCCTTTCGATAACGTTATTAAACGATGGGCAATGCCAATAATTATAATCTCCGATAGTGGAGTTAAAAAATTGATTTGGAAAGTGTATTTATAAATCCGCTCTATACGTCCCACGTATCGCGTACGAGTCTTTTTTTTTTTTTCGATCAACTCACGGTTGGCAACGTTATGGACGCACATCTGAATGTTGATTTTTTTTGTTTCCGATAGTTAAAATCGATTGGAAAAGGCATTTATCAACCTGCTGTATGTTTCGTTTCATACATCAATTTTTTTGGCTCCTTTGCAATCAATGTTTCTTTCTTTCTTTCTTTTCTTTTTAGACAAGGTCTACAACGTTTTTCTTATCACCGTTAGAACCACAGAAACTTTCTAAACGCATTTGGAACGACGATATTAGGATAAAATCTCTATATCCATGCATTAACGCCACACAACTCGAAAAGCGAAAGGGATTCATACATGTTATTACCCTCCGGCTGTTTTACAGTCAAGAAGGGATTAATATATTTCGGCAGGCGTGTAACAGATACATAATGCCTAGAGGGGCTAATTATTGCTTTTCAACCAGAGATCTGTTGTGAAAAAACAATCCGCTGAAGCCCTTCTTCCGACGCTCAAAATGTTCTCATATTTATTACTATAAAGCAATATTATTTTAACGATACGAAACGATATTCGAAAAAAAAAAGGTAACATGAAAAAAGGAACAAAATATATCTGTACGATATTATTTAGCGTTTAGAAATTCATTCAGTTTTTTATTTTTACTTTAATATTCAAAGAATACCCAAGGCAAGAGAAAGTAAAAGTGACTTTATTTTGACGTCATAAAAAATGATAATTTTTTGTTACAAAATTTGATTTACTGATGTTAAGAAAGAAAATAGTCGTGTTGGTTTTTTGTTGACTTTTTGCGTATTCCTTGAGTATTACTTATTCTCATTTTAGTCTTTTGTATTATATACAAAAAACTAAAATGAGAATCGCGTAATATTAAGTCCTAGAAAAATAAGTATATTTAGAAATCCAATAAAAATAAGTATACGCCTATTCGACGTATAAAATTTTAATTGCATTTTTTAATTATTTTATAAATATATAAAGATATTAAAATAAATATCTTTTGTTTTATTATTCATTTGTTTTGATAAAGTATGTATTTACAAATAAAAGAAATTTAAATATTATGCAAGAGTATATTTATTCTAAAATAAACATTTCCCCGAAGTATCTCTAAAAATCAATACAAAGAATTTTTGCCTAATCGATATAGCTTATATAATTCTAGAATTAAAAAATACTTAGAAACTACTTCTTTATTAGGAGTTTTATCTGACGCAACCACGCGAAGATTTTTCAACGTTTTTATCTCTCTCCTTTACTTGCCTCTATCTAGTTGTACGCGGGTTTCGTTAAAAGTCTGCAGCTTCTTATCTCGGGAAGACAAGTGCGCATAGTGCAGACGCTACCGCGTTGAAAAGGCTGATGAAGGTTGGTAAACGTTCGGGTCCATCTCTCTCTCTCTCTCTTTCTCTCTCTCTCTCTCTCTCTCTCTCTCTCTCTCTCTCTCTCTCTCTCTCCCTCTCTCTCTCCCCTTCCCCCTCTCTCCCCCTCCTCTCTTTTTATCGTTTTGCTTAAGGTTTTGTTTCACCTTGAGGAGAAAAATGGACGATGTTAGATATAGCTGTACTTTGCACACCGATGCGCATCTTCGTCCCTTCTTTCCGTCTCCTGCGTAATGACGGCTCGATTCGTTAAGTGAAACATCGATGCAAATTCGTAACTCATTGTCAGTTCCCAATGGGACGTCTTGCGATAGTTCTACTCTCGATTGACACTGGCAATATCTTTACAGTCCATACATGTTGGTCCTTGAGATACAAACGCGACCATCGGTGCAGCCATTAAGTGCAACGAATTCTAATTTAACAGAATTCTCTTCAGAAAATGATAATAATTTAATCGATAGTCTTCAGAAGCATATCGCGAACCATAACTATATATGTAGAATATTTACGTTCGTAAGAGCTGTTAGTGGTTTTCTCACAAATATTCCAATTGGTAAACAGAAGTGCCGCTTGAGTGGTTTAATATCATTTTTTTGTACGATTAATATATTTTCGATTGTGTATTATATACTGCAATATTGCAAGCATTTAATATCGTTCTTTTAAATGAGCGAAATGTATATGGAAAGTCGGACATTTATTTATGAAGCTATCAACAAATTTTTATAAAAATTATTTATAAATAATATAAAATGTCAGCTAAAATATTTTAATTATGTAAAAAGTTATTGCAATCCGTAAATTCAGTTCGGAGTTTTTAGTGCACTGTAATTTGTGATAATTCTGTTACTTTTGGATCTCCCTTCGTATATCGAATATATTTGTAAGTTCTACAATCTTTACAGACTGCTCACTGATTCTTGAAAGTATCTTAAAAAAATTTATGCTCTGCGAAGAATTTATTGCAAAAAATTTCGCCTCAGCTCAGGATTCAAACTTGAATCTTCCGACTTGCTAGGATTAACGAAATAGGAATTAACGGTTTTATAGACTATATTAATACAGCAATACAATAAAATTTTTAATTTTCAGTTAATAATTTATTACACAGATAACAAAAACAAGAAATTGATAAAATAAACATAATAACAGAATGACATTAATTAATACGTAGATGAGCGTTAATTTGTCTTTTGTCAAACAAAATAGATGTAATATATATAACATACAATATCACTGGCTATATAATGGTATGAATTTTTAATTCGTGAAAAGACGTCATCAGTCGCAAGAGAGAATATATGTTAAAACGTTTACTCAGTAATCGGGTTTATCCGTTTATTATTATTATTATTGCTGCATATTTCTCATTCAGCTTGCTAATTCCGAACAATGATTAACGTGCGAGAGAGAGAGAGAGAGAGAGAGAGAGAGAGAGAGAGAGAGAGAGAGAGAAGATTTCCCAACCAATCGTGAAACGCTATAGATACGTATCGATAAATCAATGCAGATATAAATCAGAGGTGAATCGCGTGATCCTGTTTATTATGAATAATAGAAACCGCCCGTCGATCGAACTGAGCGCATCGGGCTTTTATTTCTGCAGAATGCAAGTGTTACTCTCGCTAGAGAAGATTCGGGTCTACGAGAGAAAAGTGACGTTCTATCGTAGATCAAAGATCGACGCCGCGCCGCGCATCGCCCCGTCATTGCCTGGTGTGCACACAACTAACATTATATAAGGTGTCTTAGAAATAAATATGCATGAAAAAGACAGTTTCTCTCAAGTATGTAAAAATATTGCTAGATATAGATGTAAAAATAATTTTGCTGGATCATAATATAAAATCAAGCTCATTATATAAAACGCACAAACTGATTGCTAAAATGTCACTTGTAGCATTAGTCATGCTTGAAATTGCTACATAATTATTTGGTCTAACGAAACTATTTAGAACTATACCTATTTAGCTAAATTTTCAGATACTAAGCTACTTTACTTCAGCAAAATC